AAAGAATGGGAAGGAAATATATACTTAAATAGTCAATAATTATCAATAAATTATATTAGATATTTTGAGAATATGACGTGATATTTTCTTAGTACTTGTAATAAATAAAACGTTGTAAACACATATGAAATGAATGATACTTATATTTTAACTATTAAACAAAAGTAAATTTCATGTTTCACTTATAATATTTTATGTTTTTTTTTATTTTTTTATCAGCAAATATTTCTGTTACATAATTAATTCAAAATATCACGAAATAATATTACTCCGCATTTCAACATAATTACCTAATTTCCTACTACTGATAATTGCCCAATATTCCTTGGATTGGTAACAAAAAGTCACTAGACCCACCTCTCGAAAAAAAAAAAAAAAAAAAAGAAAGTTTCTAAAATCTAGGGTCAAGGTAAGAACACACCCTTCCATGTCTTCTCCAATTCTTTCACCCCAGCTCATCCTATTATCTAGATACTCTCTTGTGTTGCATATTAATGGTATATAGGGTTTTTGATGTGTATGAAAGTGTGAGTTTGATTTAGTGATTTTGCCTTACAAATTTTCCAAATTATGCACTGCTGCAACTTCTCTAATTTAAAAGAAATATCAAACCTAATTATTTTTCAAATCTGAATTTAGTGTAGGCTATTTGGTGTGTTTCACATTATCCTCTGGATTTGGTATTTCTACCTCTCCTTCCACGCCTTCTTCCAAGCGTTCATTTTCTCCTTGTCGTCTTCGTCTAGCCATATTTTAATAGTCCCACTGGGCGTGCCAAAAATATATGTTGGCTTTTTGGCTTTTCGAAGGGTATTTTTATAAATGTGAGCGTGCCAGCAAGGATCAATCAGTCCTTACAGAAATTGTGATTGCCAACCAATTATCAGACGATTGTGTTTTAGTTCTTTTCAGCCTCAATGAAGAGGACTTTTACTGGTGGCTTGACTTAGGAGAAATTAAGAGAAATAACAGTAATATGAAGAACAATTGAAGTATTTCATAAAAATGAACACTTACAATGGTCCAAACTCAGCCTCGGAGAGGTTTACAACAGCAATCTACTTGAATCTACTTGAAGCTACTCCTATGAATCGAAGTGCAGTGCGGGTATTTAAAGTGCAGGTATTTAAAGAACAGGTATTTAAAGACTGGAAATGTAAAAGACTGGAAAAGAAAATATATGAAGTAAATGACTGATTTGTATGATCTCAGTTCTGTTTTCCTGGGGGTCTCTCTGCTATTTATACTTGTCAAAGATGACCTTCGAACTGCTCTTCGAACCGTCGAACTGCTCCTCCATGATCGCTGATCATGTTGCCTTAGAAGTAGCTCCATTATGCCACCATTTGCAGTTAGGCTTCCCTCCTGTATTTGAATTTGAATATGAGTAACCGTTGAAGCCACGTCACCTTGCGTTTCTTTACTGATCCAATGTTGCTCAGACCATGTGAGAACTAATTATCATCACCACGTGTACGATCAGGATTGGAGACTTAAATTATTTTCCAATAATACCCTTATTCTGCCACGTGTCGGATCGTAACTGACTTTTACAAAATATATAACTAACAATGTGACTTAAATAAGTCAATAAATTGACTTTTTTCTACTTTTCAAAACAAGCCATTTGTTGAAGAAAAACTTGGCTCCAGGTCTTGTTCGATTGGTGTTTGAGGAGGGGATTAAATTAGTAATTTGTGAGATCCACATAGTTTGTTTGTAACAAAATGATATGAGACCAACAATATTATAGGAGCATGAATCACTCATAGTGGAATTAGCATTCCCATGGATTAGTGGTTAAAAGATTATTTTGTTCTCTATTTTACAAAATAACAAATTTAGATAGTATGTGATAAATAGTTTTAGTAATTTTGTAAATTTAATCCAGCTAACACTATAACACATAAAAATTTTAGAGACTATATTTTTTTATCCTCGAATAGTTTAGTTTCAAAAAATATTTGAAGATTAATTTCTGTCGTTCCGAAAATAGTCGCTAAAAGGTTGACTTGAAAAGTAAAAAAACAAAAGACTTTTAGTGACTAAATTTTGAAAATGTCATTAATTAATACATTTTTAGGGATCATCTAATTTGATTCCAAAATGATTGGGTTTTTTTTTTTTTTTTTTCCCACTTAGGGTAATCCACAGAAGGATTCCCACAAGCGCACTAGTCAAAAATACAAAGACCACACGTAAATTTTGATAAGAATAAGGTCTCTATCATTCAACACAAACAATGAAAAAGAAAGCACTGAGAATAACTTTCAAAATGTTAACTCATACCAATAGTAAAACTTTTGACAAACCCTAGAGAAAGAAAGAAAGAACACGCACCTCAGTTTCTGAGGTGGATTGTAGCAATTTACTTTTCAGTGATGGCAATGCTTCTAGTTATCATGCTCCAAACCAACAACGTTATCAGAAAATTCAGTTCAGTCCCCACTCGAAATACCTTAACTTACCACCTGTCCAAAATGACAAATCATCATTCAACTCCGAACACGTGGACGCTCTCAAACCACTGCAACAAAGCCATGTGAACTTCACGTGACAGCGCAATTACAGGGCTTTCATCTCTCCTTCAACTTTTTTAACTGTTCTAAGCTCACTGCCGCCATAGATTTCTTCAAAGAATCTTTTACCATACAAACTATCAAAAAGAAAAATAAAAAAGAAGACTTTACCATGTCAAACACTATTTCCTTAAACTATTATAAAGAAGTACCAAGTTGATTTTTTTTTTTTTTTTTTTTTCATTTTTTTTAGTCCGTGGAAGTAAAGAAGAATTTGAGAATGGGTCAAGATTGTTAGGTAACAAAAACAATACAAACAAAACTGTCTTTTTCATTCCAGCATGCTGACTACGACACTTGAGAAGACTCTGGTAGGGCAGAGACATTGAAAAAAGGGAGTGTACAGTGGGTACACCTTCTTATAGGCTTTTAAGGCTGCAAATTAAAATCTATATATATATTATTTCAACAAATGCAAAAATCAGCAGCAGTGATCCTATAATAATGCTCTTATGAATTATCATGTACCCAAAAGACAATAAATAGATAAAGAACCACCAATACTGAAAAGTTTTAGAATATGTAGACCATTGTCAACATGCAAAATCACATAGAGAACAGGGATCATAAATTGATGCAAGACCTACTCAATAAATAACATACTAAACCATCATTCTACTAGTAAGGAAAGATACTACAAAAGAAATGACAATATTATGACGTCACAGTTGCATGTTCTCCAAGGAAACAGTTGAGCTAGTTCCTAAATTGTTCCAAAAATTCACCCAAACAACTAAAAGACATGGAAATAAATAAATGAAGTCATCGAGAAAAGCATTGCTATACTAGTTTTTATAGTCTTTGCTTCCCAATGTAGCCATCACCAGCGCCGAACTCCAATCCTTCCAAACCATACAGCACCAGTAATAGTTACTATGGCCTAATATCAACACCTTATTTTTTGCAATTACAAAATGTAAGCAAATGATCACTAAGCTAATGAGGTCACCAGCATTTAGGAAAATCGGTGAGGTGTAGATGACATCATGAATTAACAATACTATATTTTTAAGGCAAATAAATCATGGAACCATACAAGCAATATTCTCCAATGGAATAAAAAACATAACAATTGTTGAACAACATAAATGGAAACAACAGTGGAATTCTTTGAACCAGTAAGTCCAAAACTATGCAAAATGGATATCTTCCAAGCACACATGGCATGTGATTTCGAATGTATTCTTGGTCCAACTCTTCCAAGGGAAATTGTCATTCCCATGCTGATAGCAACAAAATTATAGATCCAAAGAACTTAAAATTGCATGTAAGAACCGTTAGTAGACTATTAATCAATGTAAGACGGTATTACCAACATGCATGTTGCACAAGCTGGGAAAGTAGGGGGGGAAATTGAAGTAATCACAAGCAAATGTGAATTGATCAATAATTGCTCATTTAGATCTACAACAAGGACACCTAGGTGTATGAAGATGATCCAAAATATTCTCATAACATCAAGAAATTATTTAAATCTGTATATCGGAAAAATAAAGCATCACTAATATGCAAGCTTGATTGAGCCAGGCCCAAAAGAAATATTACAAAAAGACTTACTGTTACCCATCTGAGCCATGTTCGGATGCAATAAAAAAATTGCCACCTTAACTCAGCATGAAATAGTTCCAGTAATTGTAATCTGTGCACTTGATTAGTCTTGCCTTCACCAACACTAACAAAAGAGTAAACAAAAGAAGAGTCCAAACAAACTAAACCTTGCCTAATGTTTTAAGTTCTATTTTCAAGAAATCTATTCGTTGAACACTCGGGTAGCTTCAAAACTAAACCATTCATCATTCTGGTAAACTGGCGAAGGATTTTTTTCCTTCTATCCTTAAAAGCAAATGAAACGTAAGGATCAGCATTTATTCATAGCATCGTATGAATGACTCTTGTAACAATGCATAGCAGCCATCAGAAGCCATTTCAGTATGTATGGAATAGCACCAGTAAGAACTATTGAGTTTACCTTGCACATTAAAGAAAATTAAATCACATGTGAACCATATAACATGGAAAACTAACAAGTACATTGCTGAACCAGTGTCACCTTCAAGTTGCAGAATTTTTAAATCAAATCCTGTGGTAATGTTTAGCTCCTATTCGAGTTTCAGATCAAGATTTCAGTAATTTTTCACAAATAAAGATTGTGTCAAAACTTTTTTAGCAATTAAAGCTACATTCCTTGGTGATAATGTGGGATCAAATATCGGTAACATGACTGCTTCCAGAGGATTGTCTTGTTCCTGGAGGAACAGCAATCTATCAAGCAGAAGAATTGTTTCCAAAACAGGCCCCAATGCAGCCCGAAGAGACCAATAAAGCCCTATGAGTTCCTGCATCAAATTGTTATGTTTATTAGTATTTGGAAGAGAACAAAAGTAGAACTCGAGTGAAATTATTGAATTGTCGCTCCCATTTAAAATAAAAATGAACCAGACTGATCATCTCCAGTAAAATCTAGAGACCCAACACATGCAGACAAAATCACATAAAGTACATGCCAACCAGCCAACTGCCTAAAATGGACACTTTTGTAGAGATTTTTTTTCACTTCAACACATACTAGTTTGCTAGGAATTACAATGGTGACAACCAGAAAGCAAAATAAATTGCAAGAATCATCTTATTCCATGAGAAAGGTAATCTCATTGAGATTCATTAATAACTACATCATCACAATCTTTATTGGATGTTTGTTACCCCATTCCCCCTCATCACTTCACTTGCCAACTTCTTAGAGTTTCAAGTGTGCAGTGCATACTTTAATTCAAATTCTTAGCATATTTCAAATTTTCTACTCATCAGTATTGTGATAGCTGATCTCCTATTGTGACACGCAGTAGCACCCCTCTTGTATGTGCTAATACATTTATCTCAATTAAGCCGCTTTTACCCACTCAACTATCTTAAAGATGCCAAAATTCAGTTGACTGGCTGCCAATAATAAAATGAATTCTTCTACTTCTTGTCCCTAGAGATGTCATGCTTTCAAATAACATAAAAGTTTAAGAAGTATTGGATGGTAATAATCATTTTCTTGGATCAATCAATGACATTAGATCTCGTAAATGTGACAACTGCAGACCATTTCTTTAACATGGGAACCAGTACTGGTATCTAGTCTGACTAATTCATGGATAAAAAAAAAAAAATCTCAGTAATATAAAAGGTACAGCTATTTTTCTGTATAGAGCATGAGGGGGGGAATGACAAAAGATATGAGAGCAACTTACAGCAAAAGGTTCAGCTTCCTTCCATAGTCCAGAAAAATCAATTTCTTTTGAATAATAGAGACCAAGTCGATGCAGTCCAGACTCGCAGAATCTCTCAAAAAGTGAATATTTATCAGCAGGTTTAGCCTCTTCACATTTAGCAGTATGATTAGGTAAAAAACCATAAAACGAGCCATCACTGCCACAGGATGAGCCCAAAGAATCAGCACCGCCACAAGATTTAAGAGTAGAATCACAATTATCTATTTCGTACGTCCCTGTAATCAGCCAACAGGAAAGTCATACATTGCATCAAAGAGCTAACTGAAACAAAAAAAAACCATTTTAAGCTGGGACACAATAAAACTGAAACTGGTCCTCTTCGAAAGAACACTGCTCATTTTACCCTGCAGTTAATGGGCCTCATACAAGGTCTAATACTATTTTTTATAAGATGCAGGTGAAGGCTTATGTAAGCATGGGTGTGTGCCGGTTACACCTAAATATCCTAATATAGAACTTTTGAATGATTAAATAAACACGCAAACGGGATTACCGTTGTTATTGTCTGTTCCTGCTTTAACAGACTTCATGGTAAGACAGTTTCCTTTCTTCTTGCAGTTATTCCGAGATAAGGAATTAGGAGAGTCTGTGCTTTCATTTTGTAAAAAAGATTCTAGAATCCTTCGATTCTGTTGGCGACGCAAAGCTTTTCCTTGACGCCCTATTGCAGGACTATTTATCAAAATTTCTGGATAATATCGATAAAGAACCTTCAAAATACTGAATAACTGATTAGTGGAAGTTAATAAAATAAGTAGAAAACAAGGAAAGTTTGAGAAATATAAATCAATAAACTAATGTAACAGGAAAACAATAAGTGTCGCAGCAAATACCATCTGAAAGGCAGCACGGAAAGCATGCAACTCAAAATTATGAAGACCGGCATCTCTTCCCAAACCTTTCCATCTTTCTGCACTCTGAAATAGAAAACAATGTACACTTGTATACTGCAAAGACTGATAAATGAGTTTCCTCAAAAATAAATAGTTCCCCATAAATAATGAACCAGGACTTGGATCCAAAGAAGGAGATAAGAGCTTTTATCTTCCCTCAACAATAGACCGACATCGACCCAATTAATTCCCAGAAAAAAACAAATTAATCAGGAAAGCATGCATGGTTTGCACAAACCTGACAGGCAAGATCACGGGAACTTTTGCCAAGTAACAAACCAGCTTGTTTAATACCTTTACTCATGGGAAAACCACAATGAGAATCAAAATTTTCAGCTCCTCCCTCAGACAGCAAGTTGTAACAACAACCAATGCTGACCACTGCTTTAACTTCATTGCACTCCAAAAAAGTCCTCAGAAAATAAATAAACCTTTCCGTTAGGTACTTACAAATATGAACTACAAATTGCAAGAATAAATATTAAAGCACAAACAGAAATTGCATGCCATGACAAAACAAGAGCAAGACCATGAGATTGGAGAACTGTGGCATAACTTCGGGGTTCAAGCATAACTACTAAAAAAACTATGGATAAAACATAATGCCAACGATGAAACTAAAAGGATGATGAATGTCACTCCTAGAGATGAGAACAAAAGGGAATTCAAGCAAAAATTCAAAATCTAAAGCTTGCAAGGAGTTCACACTCTAAGGAAAATGTGTGGGTTAATGATTCTATTCGTTTCTTGTGTAGTTTCTGACCTCTGTATGCCTAGCCTCTTGGGCTATGAGAGAGAGGGAGTGTTCTGGTCACGGATATAAGGGTTATACTTTCTTTGTTAGCTATGTCATATATTCATGTTGCATCTCACAACAGAGTTGTGTTGCCTTCGAGGCTTGTTTCTGAGGGACCCTTAGAGTTGTGTCATGAACCTCATTGCATCTCTCTATCTATTTTGGTAATAAAATTCTAACGAGCCTAAAAAGACAAAAACAAAGACAAAAAATAGATAGATGAAACCAATTATGAACAATATAAAGTACTCTAATATAAAGTATTCTAAGAGTGAGATGAGAAACAAATATAACTCTTCAAAAGAGGCAAAAAAATGCTGGTGTATTTTAGTGCTCACCTCAGCATTGTCACTGAGAGGTCTCCACAAGCATGAAGTCCAGCAAGAAGCAATGGAGATTTGCTGCCTTCAGAAGGGGGAGAAGAAGATGATGATGATGAAAGACCATTTCTCTCAGAAAGTCCATGGGAGAATTCACCTGCAACTTGTCCAATCACATTTGAATGCTCAACATCATCTTTTGACTGTAAGGAGGAATTCAATGCTTTCAACATGTCAGTGGACAGTATACGGCATGTAACTGTCTTAAGCATGCTCGAGTTTTTATCTTCCAATCTAGCAAAATAATAAATATAGTCAAACGGTGCAACGCATACAAAAAATATCTCAATATATATACTGGAAACATAACCAAAAAGACAGTAAACAACATGTTTTACAGCACAACAGCAATTGCATATTCCACCCAGCACAGCAAGACTAGAGCATGTCATGAATCTAACTTAGACAGGTTTCAACCCAAGTGGACGGTGGATCCCAACTTATCTACAATTTTTTAATGATCAAATGGAATTACAAGGAAAGCCAGCCAATTCAAGCATTATGTTACATGAGACATGAGATATAATTGACATTTCAGCATAGAGCACCTGGATGCACAAATCATCTATGTGACCTGTCCATCATGTGATTCTACAATAGAACAGCTTGAAAAATGATCTTCATTGAGGTAAAAATATATATATATATATATATATTGGCATATGGTTAGCACGAGAGACATGTAGAATTGTGCTGCCAGTCATCATGAAAACAGTACCCTATTAAGGTACACCTTAGATTGCCTTCCCAAAAACAAAAAAATAACTACTGCAACAACTGCTTTTACTTTAGTTGATTCCTACCATACCGAGATTTACAGATCTTAGCAGCATAATGTTTTTTGATTCTCTCAGCACGAGCATCTGTAATCCTTCCATGATGAGAACAAGAATCTATTGCAATTACAGAAAGCTGACACTGGAAGGATAGTACTTGAGCCAGATAACCCTACAAGAACAAATGAATTGGATGTAGGTGTTGAAGTGATGAAAAAAATAAATTTTCACATGAATGCAACATAAAGAACATTTGTTTTGGGTTTTTCCAATTAATAGATATCCTTAGCCACAGGCCCACAAGCTATGAAGCATGTTCTTTACTGACTGGGCTGAAGATTTTTTTCAAGAGGCTTTCTCCCTCACAGGAAAGCTTCCCATATTGACTCAACTGCTGAAGACATCAATGTTTCTGCTTCATTCCTAAACTTCTTTGTTTCTTTTTTTCAACTTGTAAATGTGAAGCAGAGCACTGAGCGGAAAGCAGATCAAAAGAAGTCAGAAGTCATTGTACAGGCATCGCATGTGCCCAACATCTAGTGTTTACGATTTGTCGAAGTCATTGTAGGAGTTTCAGAAAGTTATATTGTTGTGGAGAAAAAAAAAATTAAGAAGGAATTTATGTTCTTTAGTTTCCTATTTCATGAGTTTTATTATAAGTTGGATACAAGTCCTATATTGGGATACAATCCAACTTATTCTTTATTTAAAAGATATCTATTTTGCTAAATTTCAGTCTCATATGGTTTTCCATATTGAATGAGCAACTTTTACAAAGTCTCTCGTGTCTTCAGGTTTTCTAGTATCGACTACATAAAGGGGCCCTTGCTGCAATGCAACAAATGTTTAGAGATGAATGAAAGTTTATTTCTTTTCTTCTTTTTTAGTCAAAGAATGAGTGTGAAACTCATTTCTTGATTATACTTTTCTTCCTCTCTTATCTTCTTATTTGCTCAAGTCCTGCTGATCCAAATATGTTTGCTGCACATTAATCATCAGAAACACCACTTTTCAGATCTTATTCTCTGCAAATCATAAACTTATCCTTTTTTTCAGATCTTACAGCCCCATAATACAAAAACTATACGTTGTCCTGCATCAAAAAGATTCTAAAATGTATGTATTTGAATCAATTCAAAGAAATGAGCTCACTAACAGCAAAGCATAAGGAACAGATAAAAATGCACCTGACCAGCACCAACATCAACTACTGTACTAGCTCCAACACTCCTTGCAATCGAACTGACAATGGCAGCTAAAGCTTTGACCTGCTCCCACAAAATTTAACTCAACAAATTAGCCCTCTAGAACCCTCATACTAGCCAAAAACCAAATTAATGAGAACTCAAGGGGCTCAAATAAATATTTTTTAATCTGAAGACAAGCATAATTCATCAAATCTTCTTTTCTTTTTTTCTTTTTTTCTTTTTTCTTTCCTTTTTTGTCTTGGATTCAACATTGTTCATATGACTTCCTAAGTTTCCAAATATATTTAAGGAAGAACAGTTCCTATAATTATACAGGCAGGGGGAGGTGGGGGAAATCCTTCAAGGAATCATTTATGTTGATAATACTACCTTAAAGCTTGGGGAAATTGTATCACGCGCTTTTAGTTAGTTTTAGGAGAAGATTTTTTTTTAATTTTTTGATAAGTAGTTTTAGGAGAAGATCTCTTTGACACCTGAAATTGTACTTCTATCTCAAGGACAAGTTTCAAGACAGCCTCCATAGTTCCATCACAACAAACAGTGCATATATTACAACTCAACCAACAGATTACCAGAATATCCATTTTAAAGACTTTCTGATGGGCTATTGACCAATCTTTTTCAACATTTGAAAGTAACTTGCCGAGTGAATGGTTGCAATTACTCAATCAGATTGTGTATTATTCACAATCAACAGATAACAACCTGAGTTGAATTAATTGGATCTTCATGACAGCAATTGCATAAAAAAAATTCCAACTTTCAGCTGGCATGTGCATTGCCAAAATGGAAAGAAGGAACAATGTAACTAAAAAAACCAAAGAAACAAATAACGTACTTCGTGTTTTTTCTTCTGATTCATGCCTTGGGTAAGAACGTTATCAAGTGAACCCAAGTGCAGATCCGGTAAAACCTGCAAGAAACCGTAAAATCCACCCACTTGGTTATTTAAAAATGGATTTAAAAAATAGGTAAATTGGTTTTGAAAACAGGACCGATAACAAAGTCATCTGGATTGCTCACAGACAACCCGGTGTTTTTCGTAACATAAGGGCATGAAACAAACCTAAGACAATGTATCCACAATAGATGGTTCAAAATGTACAACAGGAAGGGTTTATTCAAATATACTAGTAATAGCTAACATGAATAATAAAATAAATGTAAAAGTACCTTCTGCAGATCTGCCTGTTCACGAGGAATCGCAAGAGATCTTGAGGTAAGGACAAAATTCTTGAGCGAAGATGGCCAGTAATCCTAGCAAACAACAGAAGCAAAAATTAGGTCAGCACAAAGCTAATAGTTATACTGAGTAAAAAGGAGAGAGAGAGAGAGTCATCCCAAGATCATGACAAACAATCAGCACGAAGAGTTCAGGAGAGGCATCACTAGTGCCAATAAAATGAAAGAAATGAAAAAGGTGGATCATAGTATACAGAACGTCCGCTAACTCCAACTCCCCTTCCTTGCGCATTTCCATGCATGTTTTTCTAAAGGGGGCAGGCAGTTTCGACCAGAAATATTACCTTTTCTTGGAGAACATTCACATACTCCCAGCTCGTCTTACTTGTACATTTCCATGCATCTTTTTCTATAGGGGGCAGGTGGTTTTGCCCAGAAATATTACCTTTTCTTCGAGAACATCCAAAAGACAGTAATCTGAAAGAAAATCAGGACTTGGAACAAATGGACTGAGTGCCCATAACATTTGTCTTTGGTCAGTCAGAGTGCGGATAAAGGGTAAAAGAAGAAAAAGAAAAGAATGACACTACTGTTGTTGGCTAGTTCCATATTAAGTCAACTCAAAAAAGCTAAGAGGACAACAAAGAGTGCAAATAAGCAGACACGCAATCGTTTGAGACTGGTAAGTGTGAAGCAAATCAATTCATTCCACTAGAAGAAGTGCAAATGGAGAAGCAGGTTGGATGACAAGCCCCACTCTCTTTTGAACAAATTGCAGAGCAAACCTTCCCAGATTTGTACCATAGTCAACTATGCTAGCCCACAAAGAACGACAGAGTGACATGGATATTCCACTAGAGCATAGGCGTAAAGTAGCAAGTTGATGGACTTTGATTCACCTCTTCTCAGAGAGCTAGAAAGGCATGACTGGTTTTGTAGAATAGTGTTTATCCATTGAAATAACAAAATGACATAAAAATAATACTTACGACTTAGGAGGTTCAACCTCTGACAGATACATTTGAAGAAGAAATTGTTCATAAAAATGTTGAAGATCCCTCTTTTGTTTTCCTAGGACCAAACAGATCGTGCTGGCTGGCCAATAAAGCATGGATTATCCCAAGTGGCCTACTTTGTTGATTAAATGTGTTCATTTAGATTCGATTGCATGCATTGAGTAGGAGTTCTTAGAAACATCTTTAGAGAGAGAACATCCAAGAAATACTCAAAATGATGCTTTAAGAATTGTTCCATGAGTCCTTTGTTTTACACCCCTGGCTAAAGAATAACAACTCAAGCAATTTCTCTCACAAAATTGAGGGTGTGTTTGGCAATAGGCTATTATAGCCAAAAAAAACCACTAAAAAGGCCAAAAAAAAAAATACCAAAAAGTCAAAAAAATCACTCACATTCCCTCTACTTGTGCACATTTTTTCGTAAAAAATAAAAAAGTCATTCCCAAACACTTGAATTTTTTTCACCTCATATTTTAGCCAAAAAGCCACTTCCCAAACCAACCCTGAGAAAAAACTAACTGTAATTACAAATATTTTCAATAATGCATACAGATAATAAAAGAACATTTTGCCACATGAACTAAACTGATTAACCACCCAAAATCACCTCATCTTCTTGATCCAACCGTTATCTAACAGGTGTCCTGTTACTTATAAGTGGCCAAGTGGTGTGTCTGTGTCTGTGTCTGTTCTAATTTCAGATTGCAACTTCATCATCATAACAACGAGCATGTGTGTAGTTCCATTGTCGGCAGGCAAATTACATATTCAACATAACACACAGCAAAACCTTCGCAATATACACACATACATTATAATAGTTCCACTGTGACAGAATCGAATACAGAAACACAACACACACACACACACACATATATAAACGTGTGTAAACAAGTAAACTGTAAACAAAAAAAAGCAAATTACAGGAAGAAACCTGGACAGCACCAGAAGGAATTTGAATAAGATTTTCCACGGATTCACTTCGTAAGCAATCAATCCATTCCTTATCTACAGCTTCCCACAGTCTATCCTGTCGATGTCACACAAACGATTCATGTATACCATACCATATACACAGAAAGAGAGAGAGTAGAGAGAGAGAGAGACAGACCTTGAAGAAATTGACGACATGAGCATCTAAGAAGAAGCTGTAAGGCTTGAGGAAGTCGATAATGGCGTGAATCCATTCTAGGGTTTGCGCGGCTGTGTCGCACGAGTACTTGCCCTGGGCGGCCATCTTCAGACGCCGGACTGAGTCGACTAGGTTTTGTTTATCCGAATTCGGAACCCCCAATGAATGGGCCATAAAGACATATACTTTGGGCCTTATCACATCTCAGCCCACGTACTTGGTACTTTTTATTACGGGTGGGTCAACTAAATGAAAACCTTTTGAGATTATTTATTAAAGCCAAGTTTGGCTAACAACAAAAAAGTGCACTTATTTCATCTTTTTATCTTTTTTAGGTCACATCAATCAACATCTTCTCTCTACTTTTTCTACACATAATACAAAAAAAGTCAAAAAGTACACTTATTTAGTCTTCCCAAACTTGACCTAAGTTATATATTTTAATTAATAATTTAAGTAATTTTATTATTGTATAAAAAATTAATTAAAAAATTATTTTTTTAATTAATTTTGTTAAATAAAAAATTATAATAATAGGATATTTATAATTTTTTAAATTATATGAGATAAATTATATTTTAAATAAGTATCGTGTAATTACACTTTGATATTTTAGTATACTCAAAGCAAAGAAAAATAATTTTTTTTTTTTTTTAATAAAAAAAAGGTGAATGTACAAAATTAGAAGATCTCTGTTGGCTGCCTGGAGTGAGCACAAGGCTGCAAGCATTTCCTTTCTTTTTTCTTCGTACTGCCAGCTCACAGTTGGCAGATTTTTCACCTCTATTTATTTTTGGAAAAATATCCATAAAGTGGAGTGTACAAAATTGAGATACAAGTAATTTATTCATTAAATTATATAAATAAATTTTGTACCTTCATCCTTTACAATTTTTTTTTTTTTTTTTTTTTACTTTTCACTGTTTTGAAATTCTTCTTTTATTTTTTCCTTTCAATGATACGTCAAAATTTATTCATGGAAAATGTTATCAAGTGTTTTGAAAATTTAAAAATAAAAAGAAAAATAATTTTAGAATAAATGGAAAGTGTTCCAAATTTAGCAGGACATTTTATTTATTTTTAAAATTTTGGGTAAGGTTCAGTTACAACCTTTAGACTCTTTATGATGAAATAGGTAAAAAGTTAGGGAAACTTTTTTAAACTTTTATGAGTTTTTTAGCTTGAAGGTAGAAGAAAATTAATTTTATTGCACAACAAATATTGGTATTGTAATTAATTTTAAATTTCCTGGAAAAAAATATAAGAAAATTTGAATGTGTGACATAACTAAATTTTAAATTTTTTTATTACAAAATTCTCCATCTTAATCAAATTCTTGCAAGAAAAAAATATTTCATTTTCTATTTATTTTCTTTCAATTTCTATCCATCTTTTTTTCTAATCAAATGGAGCCATAGGGAAGTCAAGTAATTTTATGTAATTTTCATATATTTGTAATTTATTTTAGACAAATTAACCAAAAAAAAACGTTTAAACCTTTAAATTTATTTTTGTTTCTTTGTTTTGTTGTGAATAATGAATTGTATTGCACTCTATTTTTTGGTAGATGTCAGTTTATAACTTACAAATGAAACAATAATAAAATAGTTTATTTTATTTCTCGCACTTATATTATTTGATAATTTTTTTATTTTTTAAATAATTTGTTTTCTACCAAATAAGTTAATTTTTAAAAAATTTGCTTTTTGGTTTATTTTAGGATATAATTTTTTTTAAAAAAAATTGTGCCAATTAATAAAATAACACTTTAACTTATTAAAAATAAATAAAATGTTTGAGACTGATGTTGGCCGAAAGGTACCACATTGAGGCTACTTAAGTTACATTTTTAGTCTTTCAATTTTATTTATTTGGTGGAGATGATGTGTTTCGTGCACTTGTACAGATTTGGTAGGAAATATGAAATTTCAATCAAAAAGGGCGCGAAAGCATATTCTCCGTACGAGAAGTGAAGAATCCGAGCCAGCCAGACCACCGCACGTGCAGCCCACCACCGCTCGTACCACATGGGAGCTTGAGCGGTCCACCCAGGGACGCGTGTACGGAATTTTTGGTCTGTTTTGCTGAGAATATAAGACAGAAAAATAGCCAAAATTAGGGTTCGAAAATTAATTCAGAAAAAAGGGAGGCTAGGGTTCTAAAGAGGGGATTATTCGACCAAAGCTTGAAGGACACTTCTATGGGGGTTTCTTCCTCATCTTCTTCCTCTTCCCACTCCTCCATGAGTGGCTAGTCGTCTTTTCTAAGGTTTTGATGAAACCGCAACCATGTAATAGGATCTTTCATTAGCTTTAATGTGAATTGATTTGAATGGATGTATGGATGATTTAGAAGTTTTTAATATGTGTTTCTTTCATCTCTTCAAGCATTTTAATTTCTGTAATTGTTTAATACTTTCCATACATTAGTTTTCTTTGTATTTGTATTCAAAGTATGAGACGAGTCATGCTATGAGAGACGGGTCGTATTGCTACCATAGTTTAGAGCAAACGACTCGTACTACTCGGGATGATTCGTGCCTGTATGTTGAATGCGATAACCCTCTTGATCAATATTTCAAACTTGTAGTTGTGAAATATTGGATAGTTCAAACCGAATCACAATTGTTAGCCAATGTTAAGTCTCATTCATGTGGTTAATGGTGAATTCTCTGCCCTAGGATTTTTTCTGAAAATTAATATCTCAAACCCTAATTTTAATTGTCAATATAATTCCTCAATTTCATTTAATTGCTATTTAGTTATAAAATCAATCCTATCTTTTTAATCAAAATTAATTTAGAAATTTTGCGATTGAATTAATCTAGTTTCACATTTGTCCTTGTGGATCGATACCTGGACTTGCCATTATTCTAATAGAATTTGGTATAGTTTAGTGATTTATTTTTGGTGTGTGTAACGACCCATCAAAATTTTGACGCCGTTGTCGGGAAGTTCTGGCAAAATTAGTTAATTTAAAGTTACATTCTTATTTTAATTTTTAGTTTAGGATTTTATGCTTTCATGTTGTTAAGTGTGCAAAACGTTTGAAATTAGAGCTATCACCGAAGTGCAAGCGGAGCGCAATCGAGCTTTAAAAAAAAAAAAAATCGCAGCACTAAAGTGCGTAAACAGAAGCAAACACTCGCAAGCAAAGCACCAAAGTGCTAAAAAGAAAGACGAAGCTCAATTAGAGGTTGGAGACAACGTCTACACGTGAAGCACCCACAAGACAAGTAAAGCATTTTCGTTAAAGCGCTGTGAGTATTTCTCCCTTTGGTATTTTGCTTTCATAACTTCGTGCAAAGAGTCGGAACTTTTTGTGTGTGTATGGGCAGTGTATGCACGGGCGCTATTTTTGTCGCCCTGAATTGTGGAGTTTGGACTTTGAACTAGAAATTACTCTTAGGAGACTTAGGGCCTCTGCCCGTGTTCCTAGGCTTGAGTATTCATATTCATACATTGAGCCATTAGAGATGGCAGATCCAGATGTCCCGAATGTGCCTAACCGGACCCTTAAGGATTATTTCACACCTACTGCATATACATCACCATCATGTATCCAATTACCCAACACCATTGCTGCTCATTATGAGATTAAGTTCAGCACCATACAAATGCTTCCATCATTCCATGGACTAACTCATGATGATCCTTACAAACATTTGAATGAATTTTTGAAAATTTGCTCGACAGCGAGGATCCAAAATTTCACAAATGAGGCCTTAATGTTGCAATTGTTTCCATTCTCATTAAAGGATAAAGCCAAACACTGGCTGCATTCCTTACCTGCTAATTCAATCACAACTTGGGACCAATTACAGCAACGGTTTTTGGAAAGGTACTTTCTCATAGGTAAAACCAACCAACTTAGGCGAGTCATCACAAACTTTGCTCAAATGGATGGCGAGCAATTCCATGAGACGTGGGAAAGACTTCGAGACCTTCTCCAACGGTGTCCCCACTACCAAGTACCTGATTGACAACTTGTTCAAACATTTTATTATGGCTTAACTGAGCCGCACCGCCAAATGGTGGACTCATCTTGTGGTGGGACATTCATATCCAAAAATGATGTTAAGGCATAGCAATTGTTTAAGAACTTAAGTGATAATTCCCTTCACCATACCTTCGCAGCCCGGCAAGTCCAGTAACCAGTAGTTGGAGCCCCGAAAAGAGGGGGCATTTATGAAGTCGGGCAAAACCTAGAGTTAGCCCAACAAGTAGAGGCACTGTCCCACAAAATAGACCAATTATTAGCTGCAGGACATGCCCTTACCCAGCAAGATCAGCCTCAATTTCACGAGGCATGTGTTATTTGTGCGAGCCCTGCTCATGACTTGAGTAAGTGCCCTTCGGCATCACAATTTCCGGAGTTAGTCCAAGAGCATGTGAATGCAGCTCAAGGATTCTCCAACTCGGGTAATGACCCATATTCTAATACATATAATCCGAGATATTGTTTCCATTCTCATTAAAGGATAAAGCCAAACACTGGCTGCATTCCTTACCTGTTAATTCAATCACAACTTGGGACCAATTACAGCAACGGTTCTTGGAAAAGTACTTTCTCATAGGTAAAACCAACCAACTTAGGCGAGCCATCACAAACTTTGCTCAAATGGATGGCGAGCAATTCCATGAGACGTGGGAAAGACTTCAAGACCTTCTCCAACGGTGTCCCCACCACCAAGTACCTGATTGACAACTTGTTCAAACATTTTATTATGGCTTAACTGAGCCGCACCGCCAAATGGTAGACTCATCTTGTGGTGGGACATTCATATCCAAAAATGATGTTAAGGCATAGCAATTGTTTAAGAACTTAAGTGATAATTCCCTTTACCATGCCTTCGCAGCCCGGCAAGTCCAGTAACCAGTAGTTGGAGCCCCGAAAAGAGGGGGCATTTATGAAGTCGGGCAAAACCTAGAGTTAGCCTAACAAGTAGAGGCACTATCCCATAAAATGGATCAATTATTAGCTGCGGGACATGTCCCTACCCAGCAAGATCAGCCTCAATTTTACGAGGCATGTGTTATTTGTGCGAGCCCTGTTCATGACTTGAGTAAGTGCCCTTCGGCATCACAATTTCCGGAGTTAGTCCAAGAGCATGTGAATGCAGCTCAAGGATTCTCCAACTCGGGTAATGACCTATA